ACTCTGTCTCAAAAAAAAAAAAAGGTATTTAAAGAATGAGAATTCCTCACCTATTAATGTCCACAGAATCAAAAAAAAAAGGATGTGTCAAAATGAATTAGACATTAAAGACACACCTAATTGTCAGTGATTACCCAAGTGTAGACCTATATAGCTAATTTGCAAAAAACCCATATAGAATTTATAAAAATCAATAGACTAAAATTTCCCTCAAAAATGTCACAGCACTTAGAAAACTTATGACCTCTTATTCAGAGCATAGGGCTACCTTAACCACTATGGTTTCTTAACAAAAAAAAAAAAAAAAGAGATAAACTCATTATTTATTTAGAATAAATTATTAAAGAGACTTAAATAGTAAACATTTATTGATGACTGTCAATAAGATCTCATTTAATGCTTACAACAACCCTTACCTATGAAGTTTATAGGTAAGGAAAACTGAGGGACAAGAAGTAAAGAAACTTGTAAGTGCAGAGTCAGGATTCCAACCTACGTAGTATGATTCAGACCCTTGCTGCTTAACCGTCTCACTTTACGTTACTTTAAAAAAAAAAAGTTTCAAAACCATATAAAACACTTTTATGGTCTTTCAATATGCTTATTTTTATTTACATTTTTGCTACAAAATTATCTTTAAGTAGCCAATTGACTAGTGAGTTAAAAAAGTCCAAAGCTAATCAATTTTATTTTTATTTTCATCACCTTCAAAAATGATTACCTCCAGTTGCTCCTTCTGGGTAAAACCTTTCGTGCTTTTTCCTGAGGCATGGCCAACAAAAGTCATTACTCTAATAACTGGCTGATGTTGTAAAAGCATTTGTGCAATTTCTTGAACACTATCTCGAAACGAAGAGAAGATCATAACTCTGGTCTCATCGCATTTCTTTTCAGAGGAGTTTTTAGCTATAAAACAAAAAATACTTTAATTAAATTTTTTAAAGTGCATTTAGACAAGAACTAGTTCAAAAGACAAGCCTGAAACTATGTACTAATAAATGATAATTCTTTCGAAAAGAATACAGGTGGTGCACACCTGTAGTCCTAGCTACTAAGGAAGCTGAAGTGGGAGGATCACTTGAGGCTAGGAGCTCAACAACAGCCTGGGTAACATAGTGAGATCCTGTCTCTAAAAAATAAATAAATAATTTAAGGCTTCTTAAACCTTTGCTACTTTTTTTTTTTTTTTACTACATTCTCTAGTAATTTTAATAATCTTAGCTCGAAATTTCTCATTGGCTGTCATAAAATAAGATCCTAAACAAGTCAAATATGAATTACCTAAATCACTTTTGACCAGTCCTTCAATTTAGGCATATTATTTCCCTTTACCTTCTAAGACATTGGGAAGCATGGAACTGTGGAGCTCCCACTAACTTCATAAATCTTCCCTTTCCTTTCCATTTACTAAAGACACTGTCTTAATCCAGGCCATGGATTCTGTCCCTGAATCTATCATACTTTCAAATTTTCCAAAGATAACTGCAAAATATACCCTACAGTCAATTCCAAAGCTCCCAATGTCTCCATGCTTGGGAGGCAGTAGAATGCACTAATAAGAACATGATTTTTGTGGCTGAGCCACTTACTCTCTAGGTGATTAGTGACCATGGTAGTTATTTAATCTCCTTGAGCTTTAGTTTCTTCATATCCAAAATGGACTGATGTATAAATGAAACAGTAAAGTATATGGTTTTGTACATAGAAATTAGTTAATAATTGCAATTTGTGTGGGTCTTCCAGTTGTTATTTGTTTTCTTTTGTTTTTAAGTTTCATTGGGATTTTGACAATGCTTTCTTCTTATGATCTATATTATATTAATTACGTATGTGTGCCAGTGACTGCACTAAGCATTTTATATATTAACTTAATCTTCTCATCAACCCTAAGCAATAAATGACTTAATATGTATAAAGTTAATTCACAATACATAAGCAAAAAATAGGACTTGAAGAGGTAGCTGTTGCAAGTAAAATTATTCTAGATAAACCTCCTTTGAATCATCATAGCATCAAGCATTAAGCCTCTGTATCTGACCAACTGATGAATTGCTGCTTTCACTGCAAAGCCTATCTCCTTCAACCAGCCACAGTGTGCCTATCTTCATTCCACTGAAGCTCCTTTTAGGAAAATCAATAACTTCCATACTACCAAATTCAACGAACACTTTTTAGTTCATTTTGTCATACGTCCTAACTGAATTTAACACAGTCCACTCTTCCTACTGAAATAGTCTCTACCCTCAGCTTCTCTGGCACTTTTCTTGTCTGGTTTCCTCCCCAAACCCCTTAGTGGCTTTTTTCCACTAAATTCTAAATGTTGATATTCTTCAGGACTCTATTCTGGACCTCTTCTGTCTCTAAACTGTCTTCTTGGTAATCACATCTATTCCTAAAACTTTCAATATGACCTTTATGATGATGACTCCAAAATGTATTAATATGCATGTAAATATATAATCATAGCCAGACCATTCTTCTGAGATTCACATTCACTTATTCAATCAATGCCTACTTCACATCTCCACTTAGATGTCTCAAAAACATCTTAACATGTTTGCTCTTTCTTCTCTATGTTCTTTTTTTATTGAAAAATATAAAGTTCATATATATTTATGGTGTATAACATGATGTTTTGATACGTATACATTGTAGAATGGCTAAATCAAGATAATTAACATATGCATTACCTAACGTATTTATTTCTATGTTGTTCTTTTCTCTTTGCTCATATAACCATTTGCAAACATATACACATACTTATACGCAGCTATGATTCCTTTTCTGTTCTCATAGCCTATGTCCAATCCATCAACATATACAATAAATAAGTTGGCTCCAACTTCAACATATATCTAGAATCTAACCCTTCTCAACACCTGCACTACTGCCTTGGTGCACACCACTTTCATCTGTCATTCATAAATTAAAAACCAAAGTCCTGATTTGCCCTATAAGTCCTACATGACCTGGCCTCTGGCTATCTCTTGCCTTTACCACTCTTAGCTTCACTTACACTATTTTACCACATTGGTCTGTTTATTTATCCTTAAATCATATCAAGTACCCTACTGCTCAGGACCTTTGAATCTGTTATTCTTACTGACTGGGATGATCCTCCCCTAGAAATCCACAAGACTTGCTCCCATAGCTCCACCAAGAATCAGTTCAAACATCAATCTGCAGACAGGCGTTCTCTAACCACTGTGAACAAATGTGAACTTGAGAGAGCCAGTCCTTCAAAATGGATCCCAAGTGGTTAACTGGGCCTAAATTTAAAACAGAGCCAAGCAGTCACTTGGTGACTAGAGGTCACACACATACTCTGAGTTCCCCCAAAATGTGCACCTTTCTAACTTTGGAACTTTCAGAACTCATCTGAACCAACCAATCAGAGCCTACCTGCCTTGGCCAATCAGGGCTCAGCTGTATTGACCAATCGGAACTAAGCAAGTTCCAATCTTTCATTTGTATAAACAGACCTGATTGGGCACCTGGATAGGAACTTTTGCTATAAAACCTGAGCCCTCCCTTGTTCTCTGGACCACACCTTCATTTTACTCCCTGGTTTGCAAACTGCTCACTGCAATAAAGTCTGTTTCCTCCATATGCCTTTTCAAAGAACTTTTGTTCACACCACGTTACATAAAACAGCACTCCTCCATGACTCTCTTTCTCCTTACCTACTTTATTTTTCCCTACCGTATGTTTTACTGCTTCCCCTTTATTACCCCAAACTAACTTTTCTTTTTCATATAATACCTTATTCTTAACATTTCCACCATTCCCCTTTCTCCCTCCCTTCCAAAATGTCTCAGACCTTTTTAATATTCATTATCCAGAGTAATTGAAAGTCCAACTTTTCCATAAGACATCTTAGCCCAAACTAATGAGTTAAAGTTTTAGCTATTTCAATAGCTTTGTCTTGTCTTAAAGCTGCTAAATACGACCTACCATTCCATGATCTGAAGTGTTCGACTACAACTTCTTCTAATTTCTTTAACTTTGGATGACTATAAATAAAAGTTTTATCTTTATCTCCTGCAAAAAAAAAACAAATTACATATTTTTCCATATTCAATTACACTAATGTATATTAAGTTATCCTTTTCAAACTACATATATTAAAACTTACTTTTTTCTTTTTATTTAAAAAGTAGCATCTAGGTAGCACATAAGTCTTATGGTAAAATGAACTTTGAATTTTTATGAAAATTTTAGTCTGAGAGAGAATCCAAACAGGAATCGGCAGCAAAGCAAAAAGGCAAAAATACACATTTAGTTAAACTATAAATTAGTTTTTGCTGGTTCTGGAGAATTTCCACTACCAGGAACAACCACTAACATTATATGTTTAAAATTTATAAACTTGTTTAAAATTTATAAACTTTAAACTTGAATATATATTAATCCCAACTTAAAGAATAAAATCTATAGGCATTTAACAGGTCTGTTGCTACAGAAACATAAGCAACTATAGATAATGTAGACATGTGCATCAATGGAACAAAATTTCAAAATTAACCTTGAGAAAGAAAAACACCACAATACATAATTTTAAATGAAAAACCAGACCTTTTTGGATAGTAGATCTACCACATGCTGAAGTACTACGTGTACCTGCAAACATACACTCTAGATGATTATAGAGTTTCATGAAGTCCTCATTTCGGCTAAGTTCATTTTTTGACCGTGTCATTCCTTCAGAAATTAAGAAAAGGTTTCCAGATAAATAAACTTAATAATAACATTAATCAAAATTTAATATTTATTAAAAAGAAATTAAACTTTAGCAACGAATACAAGTTTTTCAAATTTAAACATGAAAACTAGCGACTTTTTCCAGTTTCACCTTCACATATGTATTAATGAATGGCTTTCTTTTTTCCAGCAATTTATCTAAAACAAGGAAACATGGCCATGTTATATAATTATTCCACTGATTTTTAAATTAAGGCATTTTAAGTAATCCAAACTGTTCAACATATGTCTATAACCAAAATAATGTCATTATTTCTTTAAATAATTTCATATAATTTACCTTTGGTTCCATCCATAATTCCACAAAGGAAGAAATATAATGATCTCATTCCCATTTGCTGCAATAATTCATAACCATGATATAAACTAATACAAATAGCAAACTCTCCCTCGATTATGCCTTGTTGCTTTCCCTAGAAAAATAGCAGCATATGACAAAGTTAATGAGAAAAAGAAAGAAACATACATGCTTCATACCCAAGTTGTCAGACCAACAGTCAGTATAACATTTACAATATACCAAATGATCATAATAATTATTCCCTTCTATATTGAGTATAACTCATTGGTTCTATTGAATGTCATGTTATAGGATGTTGCTATGGAAAGGTGTCAATGTATTTTGCAAATAAAATCTGTCCTTTTTTTTTTCTTTAATTAAACAGGAAACTTTTAAAGAGAATAAAGTGGAGAAACATTCATCATATACTGTTTCTCTTTAAATTATTAGCAGTATATAGATTCATTTATTCTTTCAAAATTATTTAATAAGTACCCACTACATGGCAAGCAGTGAGCTAGATATTTGAGATACAATAGAAATGGAAAACAAGTCAGATATGGGCCCATCCCCATGACTGTTACTGGCAAAAGGACAAATATTTAATGAGACCGTTTAACACCAACATTTAACACCAAGTATACATGCCATAATAATATCTGACACTAAGCACCAGATGCTGTTCTAAGCACATCACTAGCATAAACTCATTTAATCTTAATACCTAGGAGGCAAGCTACTATTGTTATGCCCATTTTACAGTTGATGAAGCTCATACAGGTAGTAAGC